TTTCTGTGCTACTTGAGGTCAAAGGGCCAGAGAATTTGAGGTCAAAATAAAAGAGAACTTTTGCAGCAAGTGATAAACAGAAGCCACTTTTGTAAAAAGAAAAAGAAAAGCAAAAATAGCTGGAAAGAGATTCTGATTACTTAACATGTTATGAGGGATGCCAACCTGTTTATAATTTCAGGGAGTACAGCATGCTGTATTTTTTTTTGTAAAATCTATGCATAATTTCCTCATGCACTTTTCAAAGGGAAGTATTTTAGAGAAAGGTGTAAAATCCTTCTGGAGGGGGCTCTGGAGATTTCCTCCTTAAGAAATTATTTCAAAAGTATATGCTACTGGGTGCATTTTGAAAGCGCACACACACACATGTTCATCTGCTCGGGATGGGAGGGATTGGAAATAGATACGTCTATTTTATCTAAATTCTGTTAATTTCTATTCAGTGCATCCTATTTTAGAAACCATATTCTCTCAAATTTTGCAATATAGGCACAACATAAAGAATGGGAGTGAGTGAGTGGTCTGGGGAATTGGGGTGAAAGAAGAGGACAGTGCTTAAAGGAATAACGTTAACTTGAAATTCACATTTCTGTCTAAAAATGTTGTACCTAGTTACAATCACAAGAAGCATCTAAGCTTTATGGTGACCATAGGGAAAGGAAATCTATCACCTCTGAGGCTGGTCAGGATGGCACTAACCTTTGCAGCACCTGCTCCACTGTCTTCCCTCTATGAAGGAAATGGCTGGTGAATCCACTGGGCCTGCATTGAGCTATCCTTCACCACCACCCACCATCCTGGGGCATGTAGAGTGCAGATCTGTATAGGATCCTAGCATCCTGAACCACTCCTTGCACATGGAACACTAATGGTTCTGCTGGGGTCAGGACCTTTGCACCTCTACTTGTGGGTCTGGAGGAGTTGGGGAGATGGAATTACCCTTCAAGGAGAATTAGAGTGCCGCACATAAAATGTTGACCTAATGCCAGCACTATTCTGATTCTCTTCAGTTCAAACACAACACTAAAATACATCTGGGACTGCACTTTATACTGTAGCTCACAATATGATATTCCCTCCAGTATTTCTCTGCACATCCCATCTCACTAAGAGAAATGAAGTATACGCGCTTTTAAAATGTAAGTGTATTTGAATGAGAGTGATTGGATTGCATCTGTACTTCTGTAAGTGATGGTCTGGTATGTTTCATGGGACTAAATGGGAGCTCTGAAAACATGAATCTTGTTGTCCGGGTTTGATTTTAACAACTCTTCAAACCAAATATTGTACTATATTAGAAATAAAAACTCTGTATTTGAAAGAAAGAAATGGAAATATACTGTCTCTTTAGGCAGGATGCCAGTTGTCATTTTGTAAAATATATTACCAGTGGAGAGGAATTTATAAAAGACTTCTATGCAGGTATTTTATAAGGATCCTAGCAAAATACTTAGTTATACAAGAGTTATTTTCAGCAAATCTATCCTCCAATAAATATTCAGTGCTGATTCTCTTTATCAGTATCTTGGAATTCAAGGGTTTTCCATTTCATATCAAGGCTCTAAAAAGAAGCAGTTTAATAATGAACGTCGGTGAAATGACTTCCACAATGCAGACAACCACAATTGTTAACTTTTACTGATGAAGCACTGAATGTTAACTAAATACTTAAACAATTGGGTGTCGCAAAGTACATGTAAATTGACACTAATGGTAAAACTCTCTCAAATACAAAAAGTAGTTTAACCTTTTTTTGGGGAAAAAGTCAAACACCTTTTGGTTTTGCCTCTAATATTAGATGCAATTGAACGGCCCGTTCAACCCATCAGATCCATCATTCTGAAGTGATGGGCATTTTTCTCCCAGCTGGTGATAACCAAAATGGTGTCTGGATCTCTGGTAAACTTTTTTTCCTCTTTGGATGGCTTTTTTCTTTCAGTAGTTCAGTGGACATTCCTTGTAAACAAGGTGGAGTTGTCACTTACTGAATTAAAAACATGACTTCTGTCAGCCTTCTCCCAAGTGTTAAGCAGGATCAGGACAGTACATCATATAAAATTTAACATATTAGCCCTAGATATGGTGGCTGAAATAGTGCTTTTGTAACATTTGGAGCAAATTAAAAGACCCCAATTGTTTTATTTCATTTCAAAGCATGATTTAAAACCCCTCCTTGAAAACACTACCAAAGCACTATTTCAGTCACCATATCTAGGACTCCTTTGATAATGCCCACAGTAAATGAGTCATTACAATTTATTATTTTATACCATTATGGTAGTTATTTCAAGGAACCCTCCCCCCAAAGAGAGAAACTTTATCTAAACTACTAAGATATGCATGCACTTAAAATGAATCATTATGTAACCATAATTAAGGCTATGATTCTGTCATGGTATGTGATGTTCCAGGAATCATAGAATATCAGGGTTGGAAGGGACCTCAGGATGTCATCTAGTCCAACCCCCTTGCTCAAAGCAGGACCAATCCCCAATTTTTGCCCTGATCCCTAAATGTCCCCCTCAAGGATTGAGCTCACAACCCTGGGTTTAGCAGGCCAAGGCTCAAACCACTGAGCTATCCCTCCCCCCCCGGGGGAAGGCTGGAGCAGCTGCTAGTCCTGGGGCTTCTGGAACAGCTGACTGGCGCAGTGGCTGGGGGTCAGTCCCCTGCCACAGGGGCAGTGGTGGACTGGAGCAGCTGCAAACCCTGGCAGGGCTTTCTTTGTGTTCCTCCCTCCCCTGAGTATTTTTAGTAAAAGTCAGGGGCAGGTAGTGGGCATCTGTGAATTTTTGTTTATTGCCTGTGACCTGTCCCTGACTTTTACTAAAAATACCTGTGACAGACTCTTGACCATAAGTGCTGTAAGCCTCATTCATTTTTGTTCTATCCCCTCCTTGTTTGTCTGAAATTTAGGGCCTAATGTTCTATGCATGTTAGTTTAGCTATCTAAGCAGTTGTATTGAAGTCAATAGGAGTATTTGCTGTAGGAGTTCATATCTGAGTGTTTGCAGAATTTTATGCTTAACTTTGTTAGTTTTCTGAGGCAGGAATTGTATTTTTATTTCTTTGCTATGGAGCCACTAGCACACTTGTTAGCTCTATGAATTGAATAATAGTTGTTCTGATCCAAGACACTGCCTTTTTGTTTTGTGTGAAACCTTCGATCTTGGATAGTACAGTGATTCCCCACAGTAGCATTTACTCTAGCCTTGTAAATGGAGAAAAAATACACGGCGCAGACTAATCTTAGGAACTATTCAGGTTTAGTAGCAGCCTTCATTGAGTTGAGGACACTTGCCTCTTGATAAAGAATTTTGATTCAAATATAATTTTGTAAAGTTTTAGCTTTTCATAACGTTCTGCTGCACTCTCCCCACCACCACCTTATCTGAATATTAGATATCTGAATGCCAGGTATATCCAAGTATCAGATCTGTGTGAATTATGTCTTTAATGGTGACACTAATACAGGTTCTTCATCTAAACAGGTGAGACTCTCTCTCCCTGCATAGCTAATGTTGATAATGCAAAATTACCAAATTTTGTCATTCTAATTTATTAGCTGAAATTCATCTCAGCTCTACTTGAAACCCCTTAGTGTCTAAAAAAACATTTTGACAAAAACTGCTAAGATACAGCATTAAAATATCTTCAGACACATCTACAGCACTGATTGAATAAGGTAGTCACAGTTACAAAGCACTGCAACTGGAGATAGAAGGTTGTGCATTATGCTATTCGTATCATGCTGGAATGAAAATATACCTCTGAAAGTGTAACATATCTGCAACTTTCAGTTTTTAGTAGGTAAAGTATTACAAAAGCTTTGCTTCTTTTTGCTTTTGCTCTGACTGTAATATTCTGGAAGGGTATGAAAAAATTCAGTCTAACAGCAGAACTGTGTCCAGTTGTGGGCGCCACAATACAAGAAGGATGTGGAAAAATTGGAAAACGTCCAGCGGAGGGCAACAAAAATGAGTAGGGGACTGGAACACATGATTTAAGAGGAGAAGCTGAGGGAACTGGGATTGTTTAGTCTGCGGAAGAGAAGAATGAGGGGGGATTTGATAGCTGCTTTCAACTACCTGAAAGGGGGTTCCATAGAGGATGGATCTAGACTGTTCTCAGTGGTAGCAGATGACAGAACGAGGAGTAATGGTCTCAAGTTGCAGTGGGGGAGGTTTAGTTGGATATTAGGAAAACCTTTTTCACTAGGAGGGTGGTGAAACACTGGAATGCGTTACCTAGGGAGGTGGTGGAATCTCCTTCCTTAGAAGTTTTTAAGGTCAGGCTTGACAAAGCCCTGGCTGGGATGATTTAGTTGGGGATTGGTCCTGCTTTGAACAGGGGGTTGGACTTGATGACCTCCTGAGGTCCCTTCCAACCCTGATATTCTATGATTTCTATGAACTTTCTTGACCTACTCTCAAGCCAGCCCACCCTACTAGCGGCATTTCCCTGACGGTGTCATAGATGTCATTAGTTAGTAGTAAGAGATCCATTCAGTGATGCTACACATTTCAACAAGGAAATTTGTCTATTTCTAAACAAGGTAAACATTAGAAATTAAGACTGTATATTTGCTGGAAAGAGTTCCCAATGTGAAACTGTTTCAGAAACCGAAAGCCTAAATTCGGAAACAGATTGTGAATTAGCCATTGTTTAACTGAAAGATACTAATCCACCTACTTTATCCTCAGGCCTTTCAGTTTCCACAGTTAATCCTCTGACCTCATGGTAAGAGAAATCATGGCTTTGACTTTTTTTTTCCAAGCTAATTTTGAAACTAGAGATGGGCCTAAGCTGCAAATTTAGATGAATTTGAACTTTCCTAAAGTTTGAGGATGTTTAGTTTTAAAGTTTTGTTTTTTGGGGCCATAGCTACTTGAACCTACAGAGCATGATTGTAGAAGAAATTTTGTTTAGAAGAATTGGCTAAAGTGTGCACGGATAGTATATTGTTAATGCACAGATCTATGTTTTTCATCTTTAGATTTCATCTTCAGATTCACCTCATCTTGGCCAGAACATTACAGCCTGGTCTACTGCTGCCGAGATTTGGGCTCAATCTGTTAACAATTTATCGTTTCATCAGCAACGATGAGCTCCACAACACAGCCAGGTCAGTTTTTTCAGATGTCACAGAATATTAACATTTGTTGTAATTTTGCAAAATTCTTCATTCTGTGTCTGTGTTCAAAGCCGAACTAGAGGTGGCAAGTGACCCATATGCCAGTTTCATGTAATTAAGATTTGACTGTCATATGAAATGAAATACAGGAGTATGCATGAAGAAATTATATTGTGTGGATATTTTATCTCAGTTCGATTACAAACTGAATGATTCTGTAATTCTTGTGTAATGTTTTCCATATGACTTGTTTAGGAGCCAAATAATCATAATGAAACACAAATAGACATATTTAACATATTTTTATTCTTTCTTAATATTTGTATACTTGTGCATTAAATTACTGTGCACCTTTACATTATAGCCGTGTTTGAACAATCTGAGTTTGAGCTTCATTGCTCATCATATCCCTATGGTGGAAGGATACTTGCCCATGCAGTCATCCTCTGCTATGTTTGTCTTTGTAGGCACATGCTTAGTTAATATAAGTCTGAGCACCTGCTTTATCTGATGTCAGTAGAATGAGCTAGTTCTGGTTCAGCTGGCAGGAGATGAACTGTGAGCGGTACAGCCAATACCCATCGTTCTAGAGAAAGAAAAGTTAATATGGAACACGCCTACTCTCCACTGCTTTGAGGAGTGAGAATCAAATCTGCACAATGTCCCATATAGCCCACACTCCAGTTCACCTCCACTTTAAAAACATAACACTGTGCAGGTGATTTTATTTATGTCTGCTTTTGGCTTTTGTGAAAATAATTAGCATAAAACAAGAAAGAAATTGTAATAATAAGCAGGGCTCTTAACTGAATTTTTTGTGGAGGATATCATGCAGCTCAATTTAGGAATGTTTTTCAGTTAAGATTTTTTTTTTAAAAGCAATATCAGAGATATTGTGATGGAAATGAGGAATAACGGTATCCACATTAGTGCCTCAAAAAGTGGCCTGAATTTCAAACTTGGCCTCCATTTTTGCAAACACAATTTTGCATCTGCAATAATTGTCAGGAAAAAGCTTGAATGACCTGCGGTCAAAACTGATGGACGTAATTTATTGTGGATACAAAATATGCCTCCGATAATGGAGGCCTGATTTAAAAATCAAGTCCCTATTGTTCTGGGTCTGAGCAGAACAAATTTTGTAGAAGAGGACTCGATGATCTGAACGTTAAGGCTGTTGTTGACTTCTCCTTCTGCTTTCTTGAAGGAGTTGTGCTCTGCTTTTTGGCTCTGTAGTCTCATGGTTTTGTATGTGTCCCCTTGGCAACAAATATGAAATGTATTACTGTGCTTTTCTCATATACCGTACATGTTACAGCCCTCCACTTTGCATGGTGCTTTTCTAATGTATATTGCTGATCTTTAGTTGATTTATTCCTGGTGTAACTCTCTACTCCAGTTGGAGATGATTTGGCTCTCAATGCAAGGTGTCAAATTGACCCTCGTTACTAGGAGGAAGAGGATTATGGGTGCCTATTGAAGTTTCTACTGTCATTCCAAATGCCATAAAGGAGACCTCTTCAGTTTGATGAGCAGGGTAGTAGTGATATGAGTTCTGTTTGTAGGGTCTATTCCTGCTAGGTGCACAGTACTCAACTCCCAATGGGTCTTTAACTGACTTCCATTAACGTTAAGAGTTGTGTGTTTATGACCGTGCCTCATGCTGAATATTTACCCCTAATAGACTAAAACTGGAACTCTGATTTATTAAAAGAATTAGCCATTGTTGGGTGGTGGTTGGTGTTTGTGTCCACCCCTAATATAAAGAAATCTTTCCATTCTGTGTAGAGGTTGTTTTTTTTTTTTTATAAAAAATTGAATGTGAAGTCACCGTATGGTAATCTAGTGTCTCTAACTATTTGTAATTAGGTCATTCAGTAAAATTGTTTTGTGGCAAAAATGGCTATCTGTAAAATGGAATCACTGTTGAATTTAAAACAGCACTAATCTTACTACAGTACAGCCTCGCTATAATGAACCTGTCAGGACCCAAGCCTTTTGTTCATTACAGCAAAAGGACAATCAAAATGAGTGGGTGGTAGAGCTGGGGCTCGGCTTCAGGCTGTCAGCCCTGGACAGCTGGGCCTGGGACTTTAGCTTCAGCCCTGGGAAGTGAGGGAGACGGGCTCAAGGGCAGAAACTAAGGAGTTGGCCCTAGCCCCAACGTATGAGGCTAGATAAAAATTGTGCACGCGTGTGCAACATATTTATTTATTTATTTATTTAACAGTACGGTATTGTACTGCAGTAGGGATCCAGGGACCAGGTTCGTTATAGCTGAAGTTTTGTAATAATGAAGGGTGTTATAGCAAGGGTGTACTGTACAAGCACTCTAGAGTACCCAAAAGGCACGGTCTGATTTTCAAAAGTTGTGGATGACTTATTGAAACTACCAGTCATGCTCCACTGCCCACAGTTATGGCACTCAATTGGAAAGTGGAAAAATTGAAAAGTTTCATATCTAACAATTATTATAACCCCAAGTTGCATAGCTTCCTTCCTTTTCCTGTTGGGCTACACAATCAAAGGATGAGTGGGGGAAAAAAACCAAAACACTGCAAAATCTTGGGAGTAGCCGACTGGATTGTATCTGGTTTGAATGAACAATTAGTGCCTCTCTCAGTTGACTTCTTCAAGAAATACAGTATGAACTACTCAGTGCACTTGACCTGTGTATAAATGGATTATCTCTTCAGTGGTTTCAGTTCTTATTCCAAATGGATGATAGAAAATGGTTAATTCTTTCTTACCTTCATATATATGGAGCATTTGTAAATTGTGTTCATCTGTTCTAATCTTCATCTTTGTACATTGTAAATCTGCAGGGTATGAGATCACATTGTTTTTATCTTATGTACATGTAAGCAGCGTCAGGATGAACTCCACCCTGCCATCTGGTGGTGAGGTGTGGCAAGTTGTGGAAAAGAACTTCAGGGGCCAATCTCATTTGCATAGGCACACCCACCCCGCCTAGAATGAGGCCATAGCTGCCCAAATGGTCACTTTGGCTGCTGTGGGATCCCCAGTGTCTCTGTTATTTGGGCAGGAAGAATAAATTGTTATTACCCTGATTATGGGAACTGTGCTTGGAACTGTACTTGGCCTTTTGTTATGATGGAGGGACTCACCATCAACTAAGTAGCACTCGCTAGGCAAGGGTCATGGGTTTTAAAACTCTGTGAATGGAGAGAGGCTGGGGACAAGTATTAATACTTGGTGGTATGGGCCCCTTGGTGAGGGCCTTACATGCTAATTGCACTTCCTTCTCTCTCCACTGTGGAATATCAGAGCTAATTTTGATTCTATTAGGAGTCTAGTTACAGGCTGCTGAGCTCACTTTGGGCTAATAGTGCACCAGCACTGAGGCTCCCCTACTACAAGCTGAATTCACCTAAGAGCTGAAATCACTGAGTGTTGTGTTAAGTAGCGGGGGAGCCTGAAGATATATTGTGGAGCAGTTTGCGGGACGGCTGGAGTGCCTTGTGGACAGGCTGGTAGAGCAGTGCGTAGGACGGCGGGAGCTGCTGGTGGGACACGCAGCAGTTTGTGGACCAGCTGGTGGAGTAGTTCGTGGGACGGCGGGAGCTGCTTGTGGGCTGCGGAGCGGAGCGAAGGAGTTCGTGGGGCGGCTGGCAGAGCAGAGCGGAGTGGAGTGGAGCGGAGGCCTATGGAACTGTGGGGCGGTCAGCTTCACATGTAAGGTGCCTCTTACCCCCGTCCCATCTCCACCCAGGTTGAGAGGTAAAGCTCCACAGATAAACTTTCGAACTCTGGGGCTGCCCTGACCAGGGGAAGAGACTTTTGGGTCATTGGACTTTTGGGACTTTGGGTGATTTGGGGTTGCCGGACTCAAGAACCAAAGGGAAAGGGGCATGCCCCAATTTGCTTGGGGTGGGTTTTTTTGCTCATGGGTTGTGTTATGAATCCTGTTGGTGGTGTTTCCCCAACATAATGCCACATTGTTTCTCTCTGTTATTAAAAGGCTTTTTGCTACACTCAGACTATGTGCTTGCGAGAGGGGAAGTATTGCCTCTTGGAGGCACCCAGCGGGGGTGGTATATATTTGTCCCAGGTCACTGGGTGGGGGCTCGAGCCGGTTTGCATTGTGTTATTGGAATGGATCCCCTAGATATTGAACCCGGCCCTTGTTGCTGCCAACTCTGACGGGCAGAAGGGTTACATACAATACTGTAAAATTACATGGAGGCAAGATTGATCCATGGTATTTCTAAGGTACCTGTCACCTTAATGTATCCCTGCGTCATCCACGGGAAAGCTCTTGTGCTTTAACCAAGATTATATTGAGATTACACTGGGTGAAATCCTGGCTCCATTGAAGTTAGTGGCAAAACTCCCATTGACTACAATGAAGCCAGGATTTCATTCAGTAGCTTTTTAATGCCATGGGGTTTCACATTGAAGAACAAGGAGAAAACAAAATATTGAATAGCTGCTTATTAAGTAATCACTGTTAATTCTGTACACTGAATGAGGCTGGGGTCCTGTGGAAAAAACAGCATGTGATCATGTAATTAAAGACTCCTTCATATGCATATGCACCAGGGGGCTAAATTAAGGTTGACTAGGCAGCCTTAATTGTGGCATTTAGTAACTTTTGAATGCTTTATTTGCAAACTTAATTTTCTTTTAACATAGGTTTTTTGAGTGTATGTAATTTCCTAGGTTTTTAAAAAAACAAACTGGAACAACCCCTTACCCCGAAATTCCACATGAGACACTGTATTGATACCCACATGAGTCATCAGCAGGGTTGGAACCTTTTGATCCACGACACAGACTTCTGCCACTTGAGCTAACAGAGTAACTGATAGCTGTAGTAAGTTATCATCTTCAGTGTAGACTAGCTATAGAGGGGGATAAAACATGCTTTGCCACTGTGTTTCAAAAATATTTATTGATAGCAGAGGAATTGTGAGACTTGGGAATCTTGGGTTTAGGGTTGTCAACTTGCACCACCCCTCCTCTAAGGC